AGTCTACCTGACAACAGGACCAAGTTGCGACAACGAGGTCGACCCATTTTAGATAAAAATTTGCAGAAAATCTTTCATTAAATGGTCAGGCAAACAAGAGATTATGTTGGACTAGGCGTACTTTCACTAATTCTAATTATGTCATGCAATTATATGCAATTTAAGTTATTTATTAGTCAGACCATTTCTTGTATAGTATCCCTAATTACAATTAGATGTTTACCATTTTTGTGGGTGTCCTTAAGACGCGACATGAAGAACGGTGATTTTTGCCCAAAACTTTGTCTTACTCAGAAGCCGACTAGACCGGGAAATCACAGCAAACGGTATCACCTACGCTTAAGTGTGATGTTTTAGGCGAACACTCACGTACAGATTCCATTTTTACGTTTTTCAAGACGTGTTGAGGATCTGTCTAAACAGGAAAGCTAATTTGACATATCACAAGGAAATCATTTGCCTTTATGCTAGAACAAGAGCATTAAATTCTTTTATAAGTCAAATTTTTAAAAAATAGTATTTTACAATGAATATGGAAGAAGCCTCAATTTCGTCAAGCACCCGGAACAAGCAATATATTTTAGGGCAAATTGAATTTTTTCCCTTGCATAGAGATTTTAGACCGGAACGTGTGGATTCCAAGAATCTTGGCCACAGTAACCTAGTATTTTTGTGGGCTTCGGACAAGGTGCGTTCTATTAAGTCACCCTGACGACAAGACCAAGTTGCAAAAACGAAGTCAACCCACTTCTGTAGATCAAAAAAAGAGGGGTCACATCATATTGGTCTTCCTATCTTATAGTAACTTTGGCACGAATCGGTGACTTCCGGGCCTATATCTACTATTTCTGCAGCCAACACTACTGTTGCACGATTCAGAACAGAGTCCGAATTTTGACGAATAAAGAGAAAATTTGATGGAAAATTGACGTTTTAGTTTTCCTTAGAGAAGACTTACATATTGTTTGCCTATTCTACTTTGTAACTGTCTAGGAATTGTGCTAGCCACAATCGGACAAAATCTTCCTTAACCTACGCAACTTTCGCAAGACAGTTTTTCTTGTCGGTACATAGAATCACTCGAAAATTTAAAAAATCCTATAATATTAACAAATACCCTTACCGTGGGTAATTGTAACTAAGAGAATTGTGGCTTAACACGATGAAAGCTACAGCTCTGTGACAGGATGCAATTGAAGGCTCACCAACCAGAGCAATGAACCCCGGCACATGTCTACTAATAGTCCAAATGGATAAACATGAAATACCACGCCTCTTTCAGACAGTCGAGGCTACGTTTGCACAAGATTCCGAGGTTCACCAGCCTACCTGTACATCACCCTGTGTCCATGGAGAAACTGTAGGCTCGAGACTAGCTCGGCTGCATAGAAAGTGGCCCTCTGGAGGGAAAATTTGCCGTTAGAGCTCATCTGTATGTGAAACATCAGGTCGCCACCCGAATGAAATGACATGGCGATGAAAAGGTGACCAGGCGACTGAGTGGACGAGTGCAGCTGGGTTAGAAAGGGATGCAGCGTTCCAAGAGCCAGTACTGCCCGTTCCACACGCACACACTCGACGTCGTCGTCCTCGAGTACCACGTCTTTGCGGAGAACCTTGACGGCGAGCAACAGGCCAGGCTCGTTCGGCACCTCGGCCAGCAGTACCTAGGAATAGAGGCGGGTGTATTTTCCCATGTATGCATGTTTAACATATGAGCGGAGATTGTTGATGAGCGTGTTTGTATGCGCAAGCGGGCTTGATAGTGGCTGAGGACATGCACATGTGACGAGATGCTAGAATATACTCAAGAGTGTTTCTCATCTCCGACGCATGTGGATTCGCTTGACGCCCATACATGTATTATCTCCTCATATTCGCCCATACATACGATCTGGTGTGTTGCTATGCTTGTATGTGTGATGGATGGTAAGTGAGGTTACAGTCAAGAGTGAATTGGCATGCACTTGTACTCGCTTCCATTTTTGCTATTCAGTCCTTATACATACTTGTTTGCAAGATTGACGCGATGTAAGCATGGGTGTGATTGATTGCTTACATGTGAAGAGGGCGCTATCATTTGGTGTAACGAAGAAAAGTGTTCGTGCGTGCAAATGGATGCATTCACAGGACAACTCTTCATTCAGACCAGAATGTAGTTTAATAGAATGGAGGGATTATACTAATTAAAATGTGAATGCCTATTTAGGTGAGTAAGCACAAATTACTGCTTGTTGTGCGTAAGTGTGAATAAGTGGGCAGAAGTGTTGAATTATTTGCTGCATTGCAAATCTCCAAATATGTGTTCGTGTTTGCACGATCATATTCATGCAGTAGATGAGTTTACAAAAACGGAGGAAAGTATGTGGCTGCTCTGTATGAGTTATTGTGCACACGACATAACCTGAAAGTCTGGAGTTCGAGCGTCCAAAGCTAGGAGAACTGGAGGAATTGGAGGCAAACACAATCTAAACCTAATTACTCTTTATATCTACAATCTAATATTATTTTTCGTTTAAAAGTATGCTTTCGAGACTACTAATAGATCATACATATGAGATGTATTCCTCCTATTTTGGTTAGGATGAATTTCACACAACATTGCCTCCTCACAGCTATTTTCATCCAGGCAGAGGTCGACTGCAGTTTCGACCTTGCTTACGCCTTATCAACACTCCCGGCGGGACTCGAACCATGACAGTGAAGAGTATAATTTCGAAACGATAATCATTCGCCAGATTGCCACCAGTGCCTTTGCGTCACAGGGCAGATGTGAATTTTAAAGAAGGTCAGGCCTTATCCCAAATCACATTCTGTCATGGAATTGACGATGAAGCGAAGTTATACTTGTTAGAGCAATCGACTAGGTTACTAGTTTTTCTTTTATAGGTTAGCTCTCGAGACTACCAGTAGATCATAAGTTTATGGGATTTATTCGTCCTATTTCGTTTAGGAAGATAAGGAGATAAGGAAGATGATGCTATGGGCATACCTGACGTTTTCATTGAATTTCACATCGGTTTAATCGAAGATCTGAAGACCAAGATGGTGTGGCCCCTGGTATGGTCGCAGTCTCCTTTCGATTTATATAAGTGGGATCACCTTGTTGTGGCAACTTGATCTTGTTGCGTTCTACTTAGTCGTCCTGGTAACAAGACCAAGTTGCGACAACGAGGTAAATCCACTTCACATAGGCTTGCTTTCCGAAAAAGTATTCTTAACTAAATGTCTCATATATGAGGTCTACTGGTAGCCCCGAAATCCTAACTATAAAAGAAAATAAAACTAATTTAGTCGATTTTTATGGCAAATCTGACTTTGCTTAATTAATAATTATACCGCGGGATAGGATTAAGGAAAATGTCTGGCCTTCATTGAGACTCACATCTGCCCTGTGGCCCAAGTGCACTCGTGGGAATGGGTCGAGAGGATGAGCTGCACTGTCATGGTTCGAGTCCCATCTGGGATGTTGATAAGACCGAGGCGAGATTAAAACAGTTGTACATTCTGGATAATAATAACTTTATATATTTATATTTATATTTTCTCGTATGATTGCGGAAAAATAAATCTATCAATCCCCTATCATCCTATTATCTCATATAGTCCAACATTATTCCGGTAATGTATAACATCCATTAAAATTATATTAAAAGTAAGATTAACGAAACTATTCTAAGGAGGCTAGTAGAATTTGTCTCAAATCATAATAGGATAAGGAACTATAGGTTGACTCATGTTCCGGATAGATAGGATAAAGGCATCGAGTTCGAGTCTATCCTTTGCTGTTGCCTGAACACAAGATTATTTAATACTAATCATCCTAAGTGATGAGCTCCTTAAGTAGTGATTTGGGAAAAACTTAAAAAGGAAACTTTTATCTCGAATCCACGTGACTTTAGCCCATACAGTCAAGACAAGTCCGTATCCTCTTAATCACATTTGTATTAGGATTGTCACTTGCGTTTTACATTAAAATCGACACTACTTATTTTAGATGATAGTGATTTTTAAGACTAACAGTAATTCTTATCCAAGAATTACTAATCAGAGCTCAACTATTATCGTCCCTAATCCGGCTGTTTTAGCATACGCATCAGGAATTGTTTGAAAGCATTGATACTTATCAAGGTATAGTTCTGTTAATCGGGTCGTCAGGTGGATATGTCTTCCTAAACAGGATGGGCCGGAAATCTATTAGCAGGTAATGATGACTTGGGCTAAGTATGAGGTATAAATCGACATGTGAAAGACATTTGCAGTCTTATTTACGGATATCTTGCCATATAAATAAATACAATTCATGATTGTTTGCCTTTCTTGTATCTATATTGTCAGAGAACAAAAGAAACGATGGTTGCAAACAACTTAACTTTACAAATCTTTGTGTATTAATGCAGCCATTGATAGTACAATAGATTCTAGAGACGCTATAAGGCATCAGTTCCAAATCATATCAAGATCCAAAAGTGCATCTATTTTAACCTTTGGTTGTCATGACCGCTAGAGTCAGATGGATACTCGATGAAATGATAAATACTTCCTGATGCTCGTAGATCTCCAAATATGAAGGTCAACCAAACTCCCATTAGACTCATCCTCACGAAAACCTAATAAATTTTGCATTTGAGCTCACTTGTCGAAGAAGCAAAGATTTCTGGAGCCGAACAAAGTTAATGCCAATATTTATAGGAAGGTTAATTTAATTCCTCACTTATTCTTGAATACACTTGAATATGCATTAAAAACAGTGATTTTGCCTGACCATTACAATAAATCATAGTCACTTTACTTTCCGCTAGCTCCGATGTGCTAAGCTTAACCATACCGTGCACGTTACGACCGACTAATTGATGTTTCTAAAACTAATAATACAACATTTCATTTGAATTGACCGATTTATCTAGCACTGTACATCTGCCTGGCCATAGATTTTACTTCATATTTCATCAAGAGTGCCAAATATTCGCATAAACCCCACATGTTGAAAGAGTCGCCTTGAATTATAGTATCTGGTTTGTAG